TCTGATTTTGTTTATTTGAGAATATTTTACCTTCATTATTGAAGGTTAGTTTTGCTAGACATAAATTTTCAGTTTTTCTTTCAGCACTTTGAATATATCATGCTACTATCTTTGGACTTCTATGTTTCTAATGAGAGGTTGGTTATTAATTATATTGTCCCCTTGTATGTGATCAGTTGTATGTGACTAGTTGTGGTTCTTTGTATTTATTCCACTTGGGTTTGTTTAGCTTCTGGGGTCTATGGATATTTTTCATTCGATTTGGGCAATTTTTATCCATTATATCATTAAATTTTTCCTGCCTCTTTCTCTTTTAGTCTTCTGGGGCTCCACTTGCGAATATGTTGTTATGCTTGAGTTATCCCAGCAACATCTGAGGCTCTATCGATTTTCTTTCATCTTTTTTCTGTGTTCTTCAGATTGAGTAATTTCTAATGATATGTCTTAAATTTCACTGATTCTTTCTTCTCTGATACCCTCTAGTAATTTTTTTTTACACTTTCTGTTATTATACTCTTCAACTCAGAATTTCCATTAAGCTAATGAGACACAGTGACATGTGGCTATAGTCCCTGATGCTGGGGAGACTGAGATAAGAGAGTTGTGTGAGCCCAGGAGTCTGAGACCAGCCTTGGCAACAAAGTAAGACCCTTTCAAGAAAGGAAGGAAGGAGAAAGAAGGGGAAGTGGGAGAAAGAAAGAGATGAAAGGAAGGGAGGGAGAGAAGGAAGGAAGGGAAGGAGGGAAGGAGGAAGGGAGGAAGGGGGAGAAGGAAAGAAAGAAGAAAGGAAATTTCCATTAAGTTCCTTTCTAAAAAAATTACTTGTACTTCTTTATTGATATCTTCTATTTATTGAATCATTGTCATTACACTGATTTCTTAATTCTTAAGCATGATTTTCTTTATTCTTTGAATATGTTTACAGTGGTTCCTTTGAAATCTTTGTCAAATCTAATTTCTTCTGGGCCCACTCAGAATCGGTTTCTATTGCTTCCTTTTTTCCTTGAGTGTAGGCCAGATTTTCTGTTTCTTTACTTGACTCACAATTTTTGTTGAAAACTTGACATTTTATATCATATAATGTAGCAATAGTAGACTGATTTTTCCCCTGAGCATTTATTGTCTTTATTAACTGGTCTGAACTTAATAAGCAGAATCTTCGTCTCCTGCGGTGTGTGGTCACTAATGCTTGGTTTTGTTTTGTTTTGGGGTTTGTTGTTATTTTCAGGTTTTGTCTTTTTTTTTTTTTAATTTGTAGCCTGCCTAACTTTCTAAAGATCATCCCTATATCTGCAGAACTCAGTGGTCGGACAGGGATTGGGCAGAGGCTGGGTTCAAACACTGTCAGCCTAAAAGATCCATCCTTTGTAATGGATCTCAGTGTGAGTGGAGGAATGCATTCAAAATTCAGTCCATTTTTGAGTCTATCTAATTTTGACTTTCTTTCAGGCTGTCTTGATTCTCCCCTACACATATGCATCAATCAGGGTTGTGTGGAGAGCTTATATAACTTCTCTAGGGTGCTCTCGTTTCTAGGATTTCCCCCATTAAATTTCTGCTGGTCAGCTCCTTACTCCAACCAGGACTGCAACCACAGACTAAGAGAACCACAAAATTTCCCTTACGATTCCTCCTGAGTTAGCTGCTTTTATTGTCAGCACTGGGGGTGGGTCTTCATCTTCCACTCCAAATCAAGCCTACTGGATTCTGACAGTGAGGCTGCTGGTTTTCACCATCAGTGCTGCCCTGGTAAAACTGCTGTGTTCAAGCCACAGGGCAGGGGCAGCTCCAGGCATGAAGGCCATAGACTCTCGTTATTTTTATATAAAATGTTAGCAGGTTTTCAAGACTATATATTTTTCCCTGTGTTATTTTATTACTGAAGAAAACTCTAAATAAACCTGTTAGCTTCACTTGCTCTTAGTTGACTTTAAAAATCACTAATTTAGAAGGTCACACTGCTGAGTAATACATTATTAGTCTCACAAGTTTTGCAGGAGTTAACACGTCTGATGTGAAGATTATGATGATAACGGTTGCCTAGGTTACTCTTCAGGGACCTGAAATCCAGTTTTGCTGTAAAAACTCTTCACTTGGGTCTATGGATGTCCAATGGGTGAGTGGAATGGGATAAAAAAACTTGGCATCTCTGCCTTCATACTGTGTCGGTCTCCTTTGTTGTCTTAACCTTTAGGTCAGATTCTATCAGCTCTGTACGTAGGCATGTTGAACATGTGAGAAACGTGTTGACTTGATCTGGGCTCTCCTAGCCATCCCCCCAGGCCAAAGACACCTCCAGCCACCATGACCAGAAACACCAGACCAAGAAAGAAATTTAAAAAAAAAGTGGCATCCGCATTCCTGGAAGATCTCTGCGTATTCCCAGAAAAGATATGAATATTCCTCCACTTTATTATCCTATCCCTCCTCCTCATTATTCCTATGGGGTTTCTGCAATCGCTCCACCAGAGTTGAGAAACTGATTTGTGAGCAAAGTTCCCTCTTCTCCTTCATTTGGCCACTGAAGAAAGCCTTTCTCTCTCCTCAGGACTTGTCTCTCAGAGGAGTGTTTTTCCATGGGATGAACTTCCGTTTGAAATGTTTCCCTTTGAAATATTCAAAGCCCCGGCATATTTTTTTTTTTTTAACAATTTCACTCAGGTTTTTTTTTTCTTTTTCTTTTTCTTTTTTTTTTTTTGTGTGTGTGTGTAGAGAGAGAGGCAGGACATATTTGCCCAACTCATGACTCTGCTATGATCAAAAGCCTCACTCTATATGTACTTTGAATATGCAATCACACACACTGCACATCCTGTTTTCCACACTGGAAAGTCTATATTCCAGATTTGGTTTCATTCATGCATTTGATAATTTGGCTTCTTTTGGTTGATATTCTAATTTTTCAAATGGAAATTTGGGGATCAAATGTTTAAAAAAAAGTGGAAACCCACAAGTCCAAGATCAGCCTAGGCAACATAGCAAGATCCCATTTTAAATAACACAAATAACTAATAAAAAGCTGGAAAGTAGGGATTGCAATGAGTCAACCTAGCTAACAATTGTTTAGGGCAAAGGTCAGGCAGGTCAAGACAGAGACTCCCTGCTGTTGTGAGTAAAGTGGTCAGAGTGTGAAGAAGAGAACACCTCAGCGGCTGTGGTTGTGGCTCAGTGGTAGAGTGCTTGTCTAGCACGTGTGAGACCCTGGGATCCTGGGTTCCATCCTCAGCACCACATATAAATAAATAAATAAATAAATAAAGATATTTTGTTTTTAAAAAAAAAAAGAGAGAGAGAGAGGATAGAGAGAACACTTCAGAGTAACAGTTTAGATATGGGGTCAATCTCTGTATTTATTCTACTTGGGATGGATGTTTTCATTAGATTTCATTAGATTTTATCCATTTCATCATTAAATATTATTCTTCCATTTTCTCTTTTGGCCTTTTGACCTAATTGAGAAATATTGTTATGCTCTCTTTGGCAGCACATATACTAAAATTGGAACAATACAGAGAAGATTAGCACGGCCCCTGAACAAGGATGGCATGCAAATTCATGAAGCATTCCATATTTTTAATAGATTCTACTGTCATGTATAACTAAAAAGAAGAAAGAAAAAAAATAAAAGAAATATTGTAAGTCTGAAAAGGGGGGAAGTTGTTTGAAAACCTGACCCCCCCCCAAAAAAAACTGTACCAAAAGCTATAAGATCTTTGCATCTATCTGTTTATGTATATGTGCAAGTTGCTATATGACATTTTACTATCTGGATGGTATTTTCAAGTTAATTTATAAATTCCATAGAGGAGCTCTGTTTAATTGGCTTAAAGGAAAATAAGTGATTATATGAATTGAGTATTCCTTCAACTCTTGGAAGTACTGAGACCAACTCCAATGTTTTTCAAGTTCACGTGATTTGAGTAAATCTTTGGTAAAGAAGACTAGTTTAATATTGTTGGTTTAATAATGAAGACCTGCCTTTTCTGTGTTATCAGCAAAAATATATATTTGACTTTCTGTTCTTGCTTTGTTGACAACGGCTTAAGAAGCACATGCTGTAAAAACAGTTAACAAGGAAATAACTCAGGATGGTGGTCAGCTTGGTTTAACATCTCACAATTTTTTCATGAACAATTCACACATTATTGTTAAATACAAGTAAATGAGGTGACCATAAATGGGATAAAAATTTATAAATGAATTTTCATAGTTTCAAGAACTTTTTTTGGGTAACTTGAAAGGTTAAAATTATAATATACTAAATGAAGCAATAGATATTCATTAAATCTCTGAACCTGTCTAAGTCAGTTAAATGTTGAAACATTAACTCTGAACTTAAATTTAAGTTTATATACTTTTGATATCTTTTTATTTGGTAGAGAGAAACAAAGTATTTGGGCATGTTAATAAATGTGGAAATGTATACAATACGTGTGTATTTCTAAATATCAGAGTTACTAAAAGTTCTCATTAATATATACAATTTTTAGAAATAATAAAGTAAATAACTGTGTATACAAAGAAAGTAAGACATATTTCTGGTAAGGAAAGTTATGAGAATGTGTTTTCTGGTTGTTATTTTATTGTTAAGGGACAAAGAATAATTTTTGTCCTAACGTAAAATGACTGGTTGTTTCAAAATGGGAAAGAGGAAAAGTACAGGACAAGCTACAAGGATATAAGAAAGTGGTAGAAGGTTTTTGGAAGAGAACATTTGAAATAAGAATTTTATGTATGGTCAAGATAGTTAAAATTGAGTGAAGTTATTACAGGAATTTTTTAAATGATGCTTAATATCAAAATTACATTTGTATAAAACCAACCCTTTCTCTGTTAAAGAACAAAGTTTTCTTGGTGGAAGTTTTTCTTAACCTTTTAAGTGATCTGCCTTGAAAACAAAGAGCTTACATCTTTTGAAAATAATTCCCTGTGGTTCATGTTATCTTTTTTCCCCCAAAAGTATGAATAATTTATTTCAGGAATAAGATTAGAACACATACTTGCAGTTTTGTGGATGCTCACACTAACCCAGATTCATGCACCATTCCAACAAGTCTCTCCCTGAGCTTCTACAGGTGTTGGTTTCCAGTAGACCTCATGAGGAAAGAAAGACACAAAATCCAGAACAAGGTATTTTCAGATCCTCTCACTAGAGCTAGCCTAGCTAAGTGTCCGTCAAGTTTCTGGCTCAAAAATTCTAAAACTACACATGACTAAAAAATGAAATAGTTTCTCCAATATTTAACTTGTGTTATTTGAATAACTTTATTTATATAAGATGAAATTTACTATTCCTAAAGAACTGATAAAGAAAATCTAACTTGTTTAAAGCCAAAGGATTTAACTTGGTTTAAGCAAACAGAAACATTTTTGTGAAAAGTCCACAATTAATTGGACTTCAAGATTGACAGAATCCAAGGATTTGAGTGATGTTCTTATATCCAAGTGTCTCATATATTAGTTCTGCTAACTTCTTTCTTATATGCCATAGGATTAGCAAGATGGCTGGCCACTGTGCCCTTTCTTATATTTTCTCCTATATAATGCAAGTTCTGGAACTGAACTTTCTCATTGGCCCACCTTGGGTCACAAGCCATACAAATGTCATTTCTGATTGGCCAGTCTGAGTCACATGTCCATCCCTAGACTCAGGGATAGATCAACTCTATTTGGTAGAAGTTCAGATTGGTATTAAGAAAAAAAAAAAGGAAAATATACATTGCACAGACAAAAAAGAGCCTCAGTGATAAGCATATGTCTCTCAGGAGATTAAAACAACAAACAAACAAACAACAAAAAAAATGGGGTACTATAGCAGAAGGGATGTAGAGTAGAAGTCCAAGTTTCTTAGTTCTAATGTTAGCTCAACTGGACCTTGTAAGATATAAATGAGGATGCAGTGAGAGCATTTCATTAACATTTGAATAATACTTGTGGTTAAATAGCATGGTTATTACTCAGGAGGCTGAGAATGTATCCCTTGGGAGGGGAAAAAAATAAAAAATCTGAATCCCATCAAAGAAACTCCAGCAACAAAGTATGTAAACAAAGTTGAAGTAAATATTATATGTCTCTTATTATTATTATCCTAGTCTTTTATTAGATCTTTTGATTGCTTAAAAAAACAAAGTCTTCACAATATTAAAAGAGCTAAGGTTCTTTTTTTCTTTTTATTTAAAAAGGTTTTTCTAGTTGTAGATGGACACAATACCTTTATTTTATTATATTGCTGAGGATCGAACCCAGTGTTCCATGCATGAGAGGCAAGTGGTCTACCACTGAGCCACAACCCCAGCCTGCTAAGGTTATTTTCAACCATGCAATTTTTTTGTACAGTCATCTCTTGGTATCTGTCAGGGACTGATTCCAGGACACCCGTCTTTCCCACACAGGTACCAAAATAGTAGATGTTCAAGTGCCTTATATAAAATGGCATAGTATTTGCATAAAACTTATACACCTTCTCCCATATACTATAAATCATCTCTAGATTGCTTGTTGTATTTAATACAATGTAAATGACATGTAAATAGTTACTGTACTATATTTTTTAGGGAATAATGACAAGAAAAATGTTTGTTCCTATTTAATACAGATTCAATTTTTTCTGAATATTTTTATTCTGCAATTAGTTCAATCTGTAGATACAAAACTGATGAATACAGAGGGCTGGCTATAATTGCCTTTAAAATATTTTGTTAATTTGCATTGTTTCATAATAATCTGTGATGTTGTTGCTTTTCTTTTATTTGTGTGTTGGAGGTTGACTGAAAGTGAAGTGATTTTTTAATCTATAGATAAATCCTCTAAATGATATTCAAGATATATCACAAGTTTGGCTTTAAAATAGATTTGAATTTGTAATAGGCCTTACAATGATTTCAGTAAGTCAGGCATTTGAGAACATAATGTGGAGGCACAATTATGTAATGACTTCTTAATATTCCAAAGGCATAAAGAATTTTTTCAAGTACAGAAAGAAGTTATTAGTCTTTCTACAATGTCAATCTCTAAGAGCTATTCTCCTTCATAGACTACAATATTTTTGTCAGTTTCATATACTTTTACTTTATAAAGAACTCCCGTCAGAAGGAATTTCTAGAGGTTTTTCTCAGGTATATACAGCCACATTTATTGTCATACTTAGAATATCCACAAAGTACAACACATCCATATCCAGATTCTTAGATCAAAGGACTTCATAATTGTCTACTTCGTATATTTAAGAGGTCTGTCAAATTCAAATTCATATTTGTAACAGGATCAATTACTTCATGAATAACTATTAACTAGGAATTAATAATTGTGCCTATGGCCATTTGGATTGCTGCATTTCCCAATTTCAGTTTTTCTTCATTCCTCACCAATTTGCTGGACAAGGTGGGACACTTGCATTCAGCAGAAACTGCCTAATGCCACTGAGCTCCTGTATTGCAGGCCTGGTACCTCAGCCAGCAGCAGGGATGGGCTGTGAACATACAATCCAGTGTTTTAAGCCTTTTGATACTTTTAACAAACTACTCAAAATCAAATTCTATATTGCCAGTCTGCCTGCCTCTCTTTCTTCTTCCTCCCACTCCTTCCCTCCCTCCTTTCCTCCCTCCTTCTCTCCCTTCCTTCCTTTCTTTCCTCAAATTGACTTTGGAACCTTCTAGAGAAACTCTGCAAGTTCTCAAAAGAATCTATCCCTCCCTTTACAAGAGATGATAAACTAATTAGGCTTATTTGACATGGCAAATTTGCATGGGAAACATTGTCAAACAGTGATGTTTAAGTGTTCCAGAAATTGTATGAAATTCCTTTAAGTCTGATGCGTCCTGATACAATGTTATCAGTCATAATTCTGATTATTATGTTAAAATGTTATATGTCACAGAAATAACAAATTTCCATATCAATTATGAGATTATCATAATGAACTATTATTAGATCTTTAATCATGGCCATTTTAAGTCTTGTCACCCACAGATGACAAGTTAATTGTTTTACTCTGATGCTTTCCCCAAAGGCTTTTCAAACAACCATAATCCTAAAGCATTGTGTTTTCAAAGACTCCTGTAAAGGACTCTGGCAAGTTTCTGATCACTTCAGAGCATTCCATTGGACTTGACAAGAACTTTCAAAACTCTAATGAAGAAACCAATTGGCTCATATGCTGCTAACCCAACATCAAGCAAAACAAGAGTTAATTACTTGGGACTAATGAACTGGTGAAATAAAAATAATTTTTAATCATCTAATAAATGTGTTCCAAATTTAAGGAAAAAATTTAAGCTATATATGGCTTAAAGCAATTTAGTAAATCATACCTTTGTAAATAAAATTGAAACATTTATTTTTTTCTCCCTACATCATTCCTCCAGAATTCAAAAACTGTTGGTGAATATTTTTATTTTATGACAAATAGTTATTTGCAAAGTTTCAATAAGAATTGTTCTAAGAGAATATAATCAGAAACTGGCTATATAATTAAGTTTTGACTAGAATGTCATATTTGAGAATGTGCACAGAATACCTGCTTGACGTGTTCCGCAGCCTTATGAAAAGAAGACCCAGGGAACATGAAGATATAATAGAGTTTTCAAGAAGCAAATAATCCACACAAATCTATAGGTATTACAGGCACAGTCCCACATGAGTTCTGGGCTTGGTTTCCTAGCCTACAAGGGCTTTTAGAAGTCAGAGATTCCTTACCAAAAGTTCCAGAAAAGCAGATTCTAAAAGACTCTGTATGGTCCTTCACTGTTCTTACTACCCTGTGCAATGATCAGGCCATGTTTAGTGAGATTAGATCTGTTTTGCCAGCTGATTGATCTTGCTGTGATTGTTTTTGTTGGACATAAGAGTGACTATAGAAAGAAAAAAATATCATGCACACATATTAGATTCTAGCCCTTTTAATTGTTTTTGAGGTTTTATTTGTAAACTTGGCTGAATCTTGAATTCTTTTAGTTTCCTCCAATATGTGGCTGCAACTCTCCAAATTAGCATTTCCAATTTTTTTCCACTTTGCTGTCTTGGAATGTCCAAGACCAAGAACCTCCTTTTTCCTGACACCCTGCAAGCTGAACTAGGCTACTTGAAACAGACTTCAGAAAACATGCCACAGCATTTTCTGCAGGGCCTAGCTTCCTGACACTCCAACTGCAAAAAGTGCCTAGAGCCCAACACCTTGAAATCTGACCATCCTCTGGACTCTGAGAACATGTTCATAGCCATTAGCCCTTGTTTTCCTTTTGTTTAATTTAGTCGGTTGGTTCATGGAAACCCTGGCTGAGGAGCATACTCCCCCACAGTCATCATAGTTTCCTGCTCATAAGGTCTGAAACTCTCCTGGGCAGCCATCTGCCCAGCACCACAGGGTCTCTCTCTGGCTTGAAGGATAAAAAACTCAAGGAAAAGCATGACAACAAGGACATCAAAACCTGGGAGTGACATGTTGAAGCCAAGTACCCAGGATGAAGGTGACAAGAGCAATGCGGATGCCCAGAGTCCTGGTCAGACCTTCACCCCAGAGACAGCCTCACCAAAGGGGAGAGAATTGTTCAACAAAACGGATGAGACATCAATGTTTTGGGCTGTAGTAGGGCCCAACAGACCAGACCAGACCAAAACCAAGTCCTTGATTCTTAAGTTTCATGTCACCAAATCAACCTGACCTAAGAAATCAGGAGAAAACATCATTAGTAGCCATGTGTGAGGCACTGGGTTCGATTCTCAGCACCACATTAAGAATAAATAAATAAATAAATAAACAAAGGCATTATGTCCACCTACAACTAAAAACAAAATTTAAAAAGGAAAGTAACTTTGAAAGGACGGATCTGATTTTTGGTCTTGTGTTGCTTTCTTCAGTCTTTTCTTGTCTATTAACTGTCATTGTTAAACTTACTTTTTCTGAACTTCTTCACTCCTTTAACTTAGAATCCCTTTAGAAATCTATGTGTTCCTGTAGTCAGATGACTTCCAATGTGGGACCCTTAAACCCTAAGTGTGGGGGAAGAGATAGAAAGGGGAAATTAATAATTTATTTTCAAAATTGCAAAGATGCCACAAGGAAATTTACAGTGCCAAAGATAAGGCTGCTAAGCTAAGCACAGTGTCCCATTTCTAAGTTTGGATTGGACTTATGTCAACTCCATATGAGAATTCTGATTATCTTATGCTGATCAGAAGTTTTTGTTGGTCATTATAAATAGACTTGGTTAACAAAAGTAGAAGGGTAAGCCAATTATTACCTAATAAAGCAGTTCATTTTAAACATGGGTGTGGGTCAAAGAGAACAAAATAACAAAGAGATCCCCAGAGATAAAATAAATGGAAGTCTCTGACTTGACTCAGACCTCCCTGGCACAACACAGGGAACGGAACGTGAAGCGGGTCAGGTAGGCCACATAGCAAGTTCTCAGCAGCAACTCCACTTACCCTTTAAACCTACAAATGCATGACAGCCCCGAGCAGATAGCCACTTTAAAGTAAGTGCTACAATTCCAACAATATAAATATAGACCAGCAATGTCTAACAGACCTTCCTGAGATGGTGGGAATGTTCATATCTGTGCAGTCCAAACATGTGGCTGTTGAGTACTTCAAACATAGTACTTTTTTCTTTTTTGGATATGGGTTTTTGCTATGTTCATCAGGCTGGCCCCAAACTCTGGGCTCAAGTGATCTTCTCTCCTCATCCTCCCAAATAGCTAAGATTACAGATGCATGCCACTGTGCCCTACCGGATTTTTAAAATTTAGCTTAATCATACTGCTTAATGTTCCAGATGATAAAGATATAGACATTTGTATCATCAGTAAAGTTAAATTTTTTCTCTGAGATATTCAAAGGGTAAGGCAATCATTTCAAACATTAAATCACAGAATCCCATCTTTAAAAAAAAAAAAAAAAGAAGATTGTTCCCAAACCAATTTAAATGTAAACTCACAATATTAATTGGGCCTAGAACTCAATTGCTCCCTCCCTCACTTTCTGCCCAGTTCTCACCTGCCCTTGTCTGCTTCCTGTTCTGGCCCACTGGGCTTTTGGGCACCTCCTCAGAATTGCTAAGACTGTGCTGAGCACAGTGTGAAAATCAACAACAAAACTGCAAGAGAGCAGCAGCAGGTAATTCCCCTAACCAATGGTTACTGAGCAGCAACCAGAATCCAGGGCTAGATGTTCTAGTGCTTACCTGGGAAATAAAGCGCCTAACACAGATAGGAAAAGACAATAATGTTTATCAATAACATCTTAGCAGATGCTGTACATTCCTTTTCTCATCTTGTCTTCTGTTAGTCCTGTGACACTTATTTCACAGTTTAGTACAGAAGGCTTCCACATAGCTCACCCATGAGCCCACATCAGGAAGTTGCTGGCACCCACATGTAACTGATCAGCTGAGGGTCCTTTTGCTCAATTCAGATAGAAATCATGAATAGGCAAAGTGCAGCGCAGATTCTTTATTAGCAGCTCTGAGCTTTGAATGCTAGCGGCTCCCAGCTCCCATTGTTAGCAACTCCCCTGGCTGCTCTCCTGGTAGCCAGAGCTAGCAACTACTGGCAACAGTCTGGAACTCTACCAGCAGCTGGACCTAGTAGCTCCAGGCAACTCTCTCTTGCTCTCTGTAGTCCCTGACATTCTCTGGCTGCTAGCCACCCTTAGTGTTACCAACTCCAGCTATTGGCCTTAAAAGCTATATTAGTCAGCTTTTTGTTGCTATGATCAAATACCTGAAAATAACAATCTAAGAGGATGAAAGGTTTATTTTAGGCCCATGGTTTCAGACATTTCAGTCCATGCTGGCTCCATTACTTTGGGGCTGAGGTGAGGCAGAACATTATGACAGAAAGGTGTGGGGGAAGAAAGTTGCTCAGCTCATGATGGCCGGGGACAAGATACCTTTGCTGGGCACAACCCCACCCCTTCCAGTAACCTACTTCTACCACTGGGCCCCACTACCTCAGTTTCTACCACCTCCTAATAATGACATAAGCCAAAGCAAAAGTCTCCCGGAGCAGCTATGAGGGGTCTGATACAGCCCCCTAGCCATGAGAACATTTAGGTCAGTCACAGCTGTCAAAAATGGTAGATAAAAAAAAAAATTAGAAGTATGTCTTGGGGTGTGTTGAGTTCCTCTCTTTTGCCTCACAGGCCTGCTTGATATAAGGTTGTGTCCTGCCCTCCAGAGTTTACCATCCAGATGGGGAGGTTGCTTGTTCCTAGACAGCAGAGTGCAGCCCCTGGGTAACTAGAAACATGAGAAACTATATTATCTTTGAGGGTTAAACTGTCAATGATTCAAAGAGGAGATATCCACACATAGCTCTCAGACTCAGAGCCCTACTGTCATCACCAGTTTGAAAACATTCAATGTCTAAATAAGTAAAGTTGTTACATGGAATTTAAGGTGATCAGCCATGAAAGGGCAGATAGAGAGACAAGGCAGATATGAGTGCAGTCAGGGAACCAGAAAACTGGCTGAGCCTAAGTATTTCGAACCCAGTCCCAGGCTCCCAGGGCATCCCAGCTGGGAGATGAACACACCAGCCTCCCAGGCTTGAAGCCAGAGAACCTTGTGTTCTTCCAGCACCCTGGGTTCAGTGAGTCCAGGCTCACCATGTCCTCTCTCGTGGGTTGGCCTGGAAGAGGACATGCCAGCTGGAGGCCTCCTCTCCTTGGGGATGCCTATCACTATAGTTCTTCCAGAAGGTCCTGACCACGAATCCAGGCCACCCAGCCTTGCTTAATACTTCTTTCTGATCCCAGTGCCCTCTCTTCCTTAACTGTTTCATAGCTTCAGAAATTTCTGGCTTCGGACAGGGATTTCTCATTGTGAATTTTTAAAGTGGCTCCTGATAATGGCGTGGTTTCTTTCCCATGAGGTTTTGACCACCGGGGAGAGAATGTGCTGCCAGAACCCTATTATGTGTAGATCAATTCAAATTTACAAAGTAACAAAAGTAAATGGGACTTTATCAGGAGTCTTGGGGACTTGAAGTTTTAGAGACATGAGTTCAGGCAGTTCTGTATCAGTCTTCCAAGGAAGGCAGAAAAAGTGGGAAGTTCCATGGGCGAGGGGCAGGTAGCCAATAGAAGATAAGGAAAACTGTATAAACGAAATGGAAATGTTCCTAAAACATGACTCCAATAATGTCTTGGTGTGTACCTTGAGCCTCTGGGCACAACGTAATTTTTATGGTTTAGATGTGGGTGTCCCCCCAAAGCTCATGCATGAGACAATGCAAGAAAGTTTAGAGGTGAAATGATCATGAAATTTCTATTCTAATCAGTGTGTTAATCCCCTTATAGGAATTAATTGACCGTATAAACGGTAACTGTACACGGTCAGGGTGTGGCTGGAGGTAGATCACTGGGCATGCTTTGGGGGTATATTTCGTTTCTGTCTTCAGTGTCTCTGTTTCTGCTTTCTCATGTCATGTTCTGAGCTGCTTTCTTCTGCCACACTCTTCTCCACGATGTTCTGTTTCCCCTTGGGCCCAGAGCACTGGAGCCAGCTGCCTATTAGACTGAGACCTCTAAATCATGAGCCCCAAAATAAACTTTTCCTCTCCCAGATTTGTTCTTGTCGTGTCTTTTGGTCATAGCAGTGAAAAGCTGACTAAAACAGAAATTGTCCAGTCTTTCCAGATACCCAAGGTCAAACAGTAGAGGTGACATTTGGGTACAGCTGGAATCACAGGTAAGCCCTGTTTCCCAGTCCAGACTCCATCGCTGTCTCACTGTGCCCTCTCTGTGATTTTCCTTTTATTTTTACAGATGGGAGACTCAGGTGTGGGTGGTCAGCAGAGTCCATTGACTCCTCATGGGCCCCAAAGCCCAGACTTCAAAGAGTCCATTACAAATATGTTCAATGAAATAAACTACAATGTCAACTACTCCATATACAGAGATTTGGAACAGAAAAGAAAAAACTATAAAAAAGAACCAAAGGTGACCTTCAATTCTAGCATCATGGAGTGAAGAGGTGAACACATCCTGTCCCAGAAAGGCAATAATGAAGGCTGAACAAAACTGTCAAAACATGTAGAGCAATTCTTAAAACCAAGGATCCATTCATTCGAACAGATATACATGGGAATTCAACTGCTAAATGGGTAAACAGAAACACTGAGGAGGAAAGGTACTAGCCTTCTTCCCATTTGACTTGCTGCCTTCTTTGATTGGTCTGGAGCATGCTCTTGAGAACCAAGGCAGTGAACCAGGAAACTAGCAATTGGGTTTACTTCGTTCTCAGGGCCTATAAAGTTGAGGGGCAAATTCTGGATTTTCTGCTAACAATCTTATTTCCAGAGGGCTTTGATTTAGCCCATGGACCTCACTAGAACCAGTACTTCCCAATGATCTTTCTAGAAACTTATGGGAATTTGGGGGGTTATCTAATGAGTGGTGGGTGAGGATTAGTATTGTCAGATGTGCTAAAATATACATGACTGTGTCCCACAATGAGGAACTGTCCTACATGCCTTATGACTTTTGAATGCCCTTTCAGTCATTCCTTAGGTGAAAAACCTGTTTACAATTACATAAACCTAGAACCAAACTCATTTTAGATATAAACAGAAAATATTTTTGCATATTTTTAATTCACACTGAATTTTGAGGAGTTAGACTACCATACAAGTCAAGGTAAGTTGTACTTCGGCTATTTTGTTTTTTTTTTTTAACTTTATTCCCCATTTCAGGTCACATCACTGATAGCACCATGGCTTGTGGCATTTGAGTTGCCCACATAAACACCTCATACCAGTCTGTTTTTTCTCACCAGTTCATTGTGGCTTCCAAAGCAGGCATGCCAACATTTACATAATGAAATGGCATACTGCTTTGTCATGAGTTACTTTCCTTTTGTTCTTTTCTTATAGTACAGATAGGGCATTGGATTGGTGTACTTTCAAACCATCTGTGTAGGTTAGTTATATTATCTATGACAGAAAATTGAAAAGGGGGTGTTACAAAAATATTTTTAAAAGAAGGTGTGGGTCTGACAGAGTTGAGAAACAATGACAGTATTCTTAACCATGTCTACCTTCTCTTTCCTACTCTCACTCAGACAGAAGCCCAGATGAAACATGAACTAATAAGAAACATACAGGGTATACACAATTAAATGCCAAACCATATGGCTCAGACAGGGCATCTAGGATGCTTTCTTCAAAAATGTAGCTCAGAGAAGGCTGAATAATTAGGGAGGCTTCATGGAGATGAGGCTTAAGTAAGACTTTCAGAGTGGGGGTAGGACTCAGAGGACAGAGGAGAGGAACCTCTTCTGGTCCCTGGCACATGCAAAGGGGAGAGAGCAGTCTCAGCCCAGACACTAAGCGGCACATGTGCAGCCAACATGGAGAGGCAGGGGCTGTTGCGCATGTTCTGCTTCCTAAGAGATGCCAAGGGATTTCAGCAGTTAGTTAGGGATTTCATTGTTACAGAGCTTTGTTGACTGTTTATCATCATAGCCTGTCACTGCTGCTAAGAAATAAATGTTTAATTTTCTAATTTAGCAATACTAAAAATGGTAATATTAGAGTCATTCATTTAAATATAGAGAAGGCACATCCTAGCAATAATGGTAGGAGACGCTCAGTTTGTAATCAGCCACTGCTTTTTAACAACAAAACAATTCCAAACACAATGCTTTGAATGTTCTGTGTCCATGCCAATGACATTAAGTAATAAAGCAACCATCCTCCCCTATTTATCTGGGTGATTTTAACTGCTAATATCAGGAAATCCAGATAAAATTGAATTTTTTTAAAAAGAACATGCATAATCTTTCAGGAAAGAAATTCAGAGCTAGGGCTGGTTAAATTACTGATTTAGTGCTGTTTTTTAGGTTCCAGCTCTTTCTTTCTTCTCACGGGTCCTCAGTATTTTAGCTTTGCCTACGAGTCTGGCTCCCATCCTGGTCCCCATATGGCTGCCTAATTTCCCCAGCTCCTACACAGAAATCCAGAGGTACAAAATGGAATGTTGATATCATTGTTACCTTTTAAAGGTCGAAATAAATCCTTCTAGAAACCCCCCCCCCCAGAAATTTTGCCACACATTGTATTGGCTGGAATTGCATCGAGTGCCCATGCTTAAACAATAACTTGGCAAAGGAAACAAGGCTCATGTTTTTGGTTGGTCCGACCAAAGTTCATCCTCTGGAGCTGAAGAGGGGCCCAGTCTCCAGGGAAGGATATTGGCACTGGGCAGAAGGAACAACTCAGGCTGTGATGGGAAAGAGGAAGAAAGAGATGCATCTGACACAGCCAGAAATCTCTAAATCAGTTTCACAGATCATTCTTCAGAAAAAAGACTAATTCAGAAAAATAAACTAATAAGAGGGGCATTGTATTACCTTCCTGAAGATTCACAATGTCATCAGCATAGTAAGGACTCTGACAAATCCTGTATTTTAATTGTTGATTTAGTCAGCATTTTCATGACTGTGACCAAAAAACCTGACAAGAACAACATACAGGAGGAAAAGTTTAT